ACAAGAGAAGAAGAAAAAGAAACACACACACACACACACTCACACACATTGTGACCATTATATTTTATAAATAAAAGAAAAAAAAAATTGACATGTGATATAGATGGTAAGGCACGCGGACGATGCGTTGCGATGCATTACGAAAGCAAATGTATTCTGTATATCGTTTCATTAAATCTATTAAAATAACCGACGCCCCGTTCTTTACTTTCGCTATACGGTACGGCGCGGTCGAACTCTTTTTTTAGGCTAGCCTTATACATATATATATATATATGTAGACGTAGAATGAAACAGGTATTGGAAGGATTGTCAATAGTCCTTAGGGAATACGATGTGCGAGACGGTTTCTCGAAAGGGTCCTGTGACTTTACATAAAACTGCACACCTGGCGTTTAATACCAGTCCTGGAACCTGAAGTTTTGTCCCGAGTCCTTCCTTTTTTAGAATTTACCTACGTGTGTGTGTAACCGCTGTGATTGACATTTCTGTATTCTGCCTTTAATTTTTTTCTTTTTTTTCCCAGGGTTAAGAACAATGTCAGTGATCGTTAGGTGAATAAACGAAAGCAAAGGCTAACGACAAAGGGGATTTTATTTATTTGTAGTATTACTCACATATCTGGAATGTTCTAGTATTTTTTTTTTTCTCGTTGTAAGACAAGTACGTATCGTTTTTATTATCTTGCGGAAAAAAGTACGTTCTAAAAAGGAAAAAATGCAACTTTTATAAATACGTTGATCGTTCCTCAAGGCTAATAAGACGTCATCTATTCGAGGAGCGTGTGCGAGCGCGAAGCGCGCGAATGCGATTCGCGTGGCGTTGTGCAGCTGCTGCTTGTGCAACTATTTCAAAATTCACCGGCATAACGGTTACGTGTGTGCGCACGCGCGACAGCGCTGGCAGCGAGCACAGATGGCGTTCGCGTGGCTTTGTGCGCGTGCGCGAAACAAATTTCACACGGCGCATCGAGAAAATAGTCCGCGCTCGTAGAGACACGACGATCGCTTCGAGAAACGTGATACTCGTGACAGCAGTATTGAAACGCTTACGCGAACGACGACGATAGTACAGGGGGATTGACGAATCGTAATACGCGATACGTCGAGCGTATTATCGTCTTTGTTTCAACGATCGAACAGTTTTTTCCCCCGTGTGTGATACGCGCGAGAATATCAAAGTGCGCGGATATTACTACGCCGCACGTTGTAGAAGGAAGCAGAAATCGAGTACTGGCAGGAAGTGGGTAGAAGGGGGGTACGTCGTTGAGCTAGTTGATTCGGTGGTGGCTACATGTGGCTGTCCGCCGGTCGCGACAACGAGACATTTCCTATCAAGGCATAAAAAATCACGTTTCCCAAGCGGTAATCGATAGCCGAAAGAAGCCGAAACCATGCAGATGGATCCAACGACGGTGCAACTGATCCAGGTTCTGGAGAGAACCGTCTCCTCAGGTAAGAGCCGTTTTTCATTAATCGAGGCTCTCAGGTTGTTGGCGGCGACATCATGGAATCCAGACTAATTTTTCTCCGTTTCCCTTGACCTTGCCTGTGTCGTGCTTGCCTTATGAAACATGCAGTACTTCTTTTCCTTGAACGTTTCACGTCATTTTCGCGACCTTGCCTGGAAAAGTAAAGTCCCACCGCGTGCGCGTCCTTTTTGTACTCCTTCCGGTATATTCGCGGAGTACTCGTTATCATTGTTAGTTTGTAGTATCGTTAAGCTATCGGGAATTTTTTAGCATCGATACGCCAGCGTTTAATCAGGATCTGTCGTTTGTACGATAATACGTTGTATTGTGTTCCGTTTGGCTGTTGCTAGGGGCTTTGTTCGCAGCCGGAAAAGTATTGTCCCGTGTGACGGTTACTCGTATTGCACGTCCCCGTTGTCGGTTGGCACGGCGAGTACGAGTGCATCCTGCTTTTCTAACCTCTACCACAGTTGCCACAGACATTTTTTTTTTTAACCTGACATTAACAAGACGATATATGTATGAAAATGGATTACATTAATTGCGTTTATTTGCAATTGCGATTTCAGACAAAAATGAGTTGGAGGCAGCACAGAATTTTCTGGAGCAAGCAGTGCAGACTAATCTTGTGAGTTATTCCTTTTCAGAGACAGCATTTTTTTTTTTAATTAGGAAATTTCAGGAATTGTTAAAGTTCTAATGAAATCGGTTTTTCTCCCTTTTTTTTTTTATTACATAGCATGAATTCTTGCAAAGACTCAGCGGCGTGCTGGTTACTGCCGCTGCAAGCCCAGTTGCTCGCATGGCAGCAGGTCTTCAGCTCAAAAATCAACTTACATCCAAAGACTCGCAGTTGAAATACCAATATCAACAACGCTGGCTTGCTATTCCTGTGGAGACCAGAGAGTATATTAAGAAGAATGTACGTAACTCATTTAGGAGTAGATGTTTTCTCGGTTGTTGCATTTAGAGAGAAAGAGTAGTGACACTGTTGTATTTGGTTGTCGATAGATTTTTGGAGCTCTTGGAACAGAAAACAACAGGCCAAGTGCTGCGGCACAGTGTGTTGCATATGTAGCAGTCGCTGAATTACCTGTTCGCGAATGGACCAATGTCATTCAGCTATTAGTTAACAATGTTGTAAATCCAAACAGCACTGAAATAATGAAGGAGGCAACTCTAGAAGCCATTGGTTATATTTGTCAAGATATAGAAAGCGATGTTTTGGTACCTCAGTCGAATCAAATTCTCACTGCTATTATTCACGGTATGAAAGGATCTGGTGCTTCGCATCACGTTCGTCTCGCAGCTACAAGTGCACTCTACAATTCGTTAGAATTTACCAAAGGAAATTTCGAGATAGAGGTTAGTATAATCGGAAAAAATATTCCTACCACATTTTCCAGATAGAACAGATAATTTAACCGTATTGCTCGTGTATACAGACGGAGCGAAACTTCATCATGGAAGTGGTGTGCGAAGCAACGCAGTCCTTAGACACACAAGTTAAAGTAGCCGCTTTACTCTAGAAGCTATGAAGTCAGATATCGATGAAGTTGCACTGCAAGGAATTGAATTTTGGTCAAATGTATCGGACGAAGAGGTGGATTTAGCGATGGAAGAAGGCGAGGCTTCTGACTGTGGTCGACCACCGGTCAAAGTATCGAGGCACTACGCGAAGGGCGCTTTGCAGTATCTGGTACCTGTTCTTATGAAGAAGCTTACCAAACAGGAAGAGTTCGACGACGAAGACGATTGGAATCCCTCGAAAGCAGCCGGAGTGTGTTTAATGTTACTTTCCACTTGCTGCGAGAACGATATCGTCCCGCACGTTCTCCCTTTCGTCATGGACAACATTAAGAGTCCAGACTGGAGGTATCGAGACGCCGCATTAATGGCCTTCGCTTCGATCCTCGCGGGTGTCGAACACACGACTCTGAAACCCTTGGTAGAACAAGCAATGCCAACGCTCATCCAATTAATGTACGACAGCAGCGTCGCGGTAAGGGACACGGCTGCTTGGACGTTCGGTCGAATTTGCGAGATAATACCAGCGGCAGCGATTAACGAGACATACTTGAAACCTCTGCTGGAAGCTCTGATAAACGGTCTGAAAGCAGAGCCACGCGTTGCAGCTAACGTTTGTTGGGCTTTCACCGGTCTCGCAGAAGCCAGCTACGAATCGGCAGAAAATTTGGAAGGCCAGAATCCAGAAACGTACTGCATGTCTCAATACTTTGATTTCATCATTCAAAGATTGCTCGAAACGACGGATCGCCCGGACGGAGCTCAGGCTAACTTGAGATCGGCCGCGTACGAAGCGTTGATGGACATGGTGAAGAACTCTCCGCACGATTGTTATTTAACCGTGCAGAAGACGACGATGGTGATCCTGGAGAGGTTGCAGCAGGTACTGCAAATGGAGAATCATATCCAGACGCATACGGATCGTGCACAGTACAACGACGTCCAGTCGTTGCTTTGCGCCACTTTGCAATCTGTATTACGCAAAGTCACACCAGAGGATGCTCCACATATCTCCGACGTGATAATGACAGCGTTGCTCTCCATGTTCAGCTCGAACTCTTGCAAAGCTGAAGGTGTACAGGAGGATGCTCTCATGGCTGTTTCGACGTTGGTCGAAGTGCTGGGAGAAGGTTTTCTTAAATACATGGATGCATTTAAGCCGTTTCTTTGCCTGGGTTTGAAGAATCACGCGGAGTATCAAGTATGCTGTGCTGCTGTCGGTCTGACCGGTGACATATGTCGCTCTTTGAAGAACAAAATGCTACCTTACTGCGACGAGATTATGACACTGTTGCTGGAGAATCTTGGCAATAATACGGTCCATCGTTCGGTCAAGCCTCAGATCTTTTCTGTCTTCGGTGACGTTGCTCTAAGCATCGGTCCGGAATTTAAGAAATACCTAGACGTGGTACTGCAAACGTTGGCTCAAGCATCTCAGGCGCACGTCGACAGAACCGATTACGATATGATCGATTATTTGAACGAATTACGCGAGGGTGTCCTCGAGGCTTACACTGGTATAGTGCAAGGACTACGCGGCGAGATAACGAATCCGGATCCTGCAGTTACTCTGGTCGAGCCACATGTGCCCTTCATCATTCAGTTCCTCACGTCGATAGCACAGGATCGCGAACACTCCGAAGGGAACATCGCTGCCGCGGTGGGCCTGCTCGGTGACCTGGTCACCATTTTCGGGGCGAAACTGTTGCCAATGGTA